TTTTTTGCAGTGTAATGCCCAGGAAACTGTATTTTTAAACACTAAAATGCAACAAAAAGAAACCAAACTTAAATGTACGTGATGTCTGCACCTTAACGMTTCAGTTCAAACCCTAGAATCATTTTGTAAAGTCATTTCTCATCATGTTCACATATATCCACACTTCCTACAAGCCGCTCCAGAATTGGCTCTTTGAAATGATCCTGTGTGGCAGAAAACCAGATTTCCCTAACACGATCTGTTGACATGAGATTCATCTGAAACATTGTGTAGAAATATATGTGTTGTGATCAGGATAAGGCTGGCTTTGTACACAGCTGTTCTCCTTTACAGCAGCAGGATCTGCGTAGCGTGGAGAACAAACAGCTGCTTGTTTATCAGTGCCGGCCGGAGCTGAAGCAGCACTTTCCAAAAGGAAAAATCTCCACGGGCTGAAGTGTTGAAAAGCCAAAGATAAACTTAACCTTTAGCTGAGTCGGTAAAAACAAACAAGTTCAGGTATTATTGGGAATCGTTACCTTCTCCAGCTGACTGTGAACYTGCTGAACGATCAGATCTAAAGCTACAAAGTTTTCTCCACCTGCAGGACAACGGGGAGACACATGGACACAAAATTAACCACAGATTTAACATAATGGAGCAAATGAGGTATCAAAATAATTCCCATAATTGTGTCAGTGGAACAGGGTATTTTTAAAATAATGTTTCTGTTTTCTCGCTGACCTTTAGGCACCACTATATCAGCAACTTGCACCGTGGGCTCGATGTACTGCTCAAACGCTGGTTTCACAAACTTGTTGTACTGTTTGATGATGCCGTTAATGTCCCGTCCTCGCTGCGAGACGTCCCTCTTCAACCTCCGGATCAGACGGATGTCCGAATCCGTTTCCACAAACACCTTCATGTCCAGAAGCTGCAAACGGGACAGCAGAGGCGTGGTTCGCTAGTGTGTCGTCAGGACAAAAACGTTTGAAAGTGGAAAGAATTTGTGGCATTTTGGTGAATAAATATGGAAAAACAAAAAATGTGCCCTTCACTTTCATTACTGCTCACAATGAACCTCTTTCAAAGACATGATGAAACTAGAAACCACACAGCTGTAGCTTATATGACCCCCGTACCAATGCACCAGAACTCAGAGCGGATTTATTGTTTTGGGTGGGGGTCCAGAGATGGTGGGGCTGATTGGTGGGTCTGATGGGTAGAGCTTCATCAGAGCTAAACAAAAAAAAAAATCTGAAGCTCCTATGT